ATGAAGAGAGTGGTTTTGTGAAGACATCAGCTAGTTGATCTGCAGTGAGAATGTACCGAATTTGAAGCTTCTTCTGAGTGATGAGATCTCGAAGAAAATGAAAATCCACCTCCACATGTTTGGTTCGGGCATGAAAGATAGGGTTTGCAGCCAAGTGAGTAGCTCCCATATTGTCACACAAAAGGATTGGTGGAGGAGCCGAATAACCAATATCTTTGAGGAGAGACTGAACCCAAAGTAATTCTATCATAGTATTTGCAAGAGCTTTAAACTCAAATTTAGTGTTGGAGCTAGCTATTGTTTGTTGTTTCTTGGAACTCCAAGTAATGAGAGTGGAGCCAAGATATATAGTATACCCACCAGTTGACTACCGGTCATCCGAACAGCTAGCCTAGTCAGCATTAGTGTAAGCAACTAATTGGCGAGATGTGGAACACTGAAAGGTGAGGCCATGAGAGACAGTAGCTTTGAGGTAACGAAGAATTCTCTTAACTGTTGTTCAATGCTCATCAGTGGGAGAATGAAGAAATTGGCATACATTATTAACAGCAAAGTTGATATCCGATCGAGTAGTGGTGACATACTGGAGAGCTCCAACAATACCGCGGTACTCCGTGGAATTAGGCAAGGGGTTTTTAGAATCCTTAGAGAGTCGACTAGAGGTAGCCATGGGGGAGCTTTCTGGTTTGGCTCCTTCTAGATTCGTCCCGTGTAACAAGTCCAAAATGTATCGCTGCTGAGAGAGGTACAAACTGCCAGAAGAGCAGCTGACCTCGATGCCCAAAAAATAGTGAAGAGAGCCTAAATCCTTTAGTGGAAATACCGAAGATAGGGATTAAAAAAAGCCATTGATAGACGCGGATCAATTCCTAGTGAGAATGATATCGTTGACATACACCAAAAGCATCAGCACGGTTTGGTTGGAGGTGAAGATAAATAGAGATGGATCAGATGTAGAGTTACAAAAGCCTATTTGTTTGAGGATAGAGCTAAAATGAGAGTATCAAGCTCGAGGAGCTTGTCTAAGCCTGTAAAGTGCCTTTCGAAGTTTGCAAACATGAGTTGGGTGTTTGGGATCGACGAATTTTTTGGGTTGATGTACATAAATGTCTTCATCAAGTAAGCCATGGAGGAAAGCATTATTTATATCCAACTGATGCACTAGTCAGTTGTGAGAAATAGCAATAGAGAGAACCGTTCGTACGGTGACTGGTTCGACAACCAGGCTAAAGGTGTCAAAGTAATCAAGTCCCAAAACCTGGTGAATGCCTTGGGCAACCAGCCTGGCTTTGTAGCGATCAATGGTACCATCAGCCTTTTTCTTTATCTTATAGATCCACTTAGTTTCGACAATGTTCATGGAAGGATCATACGGAACTAAGCACCAAGTATCATTTTTAATGAGGGCCTGATATTATTTTTGTATAGCCAACTGCCAATTTTTTGATTTGGCGATTTGATGAAATTTTTGGGTTCATGTTCTTCTTTAGAGAGAAGAGTAAGAAAAGCCAAAGGAAAGGGATACCTTGTGGCAAACTGAGATCGTGGAAGGGTACCATCCACAGACCTGGTACACATGGAGTGAGAGCGTACAAGTTGTGGAACCAAATCTGTATTATCCAACAATTCTTGAATGTTGCGGTACTTTTGTGGTCAATCAGAAGAAATCTGATTTGGAGATGCTGAGATTGGAGAGGCTGTAGCTGAATTAGAGTTGGACTCAGGAGGAATCATAGAGGGGTGTTGTTGTAATGATGGCGATGTACATGGTAGTTCTGAATTCTGGGGGACGGGTGCAAAGATGAAAATACCCGAGGGAACAATGGAGGCGCAAGAAGTTGGTTCATCAATTCCCATAAACGCGCATTCATCAAACACAACATGGCAAGCAATAAACAAACGCCCTGGAGGACCATGAAGACGTCGGTATCCTTTGTGAGAGGTACTGTAGCCAATGAAGATACATTTGAGAGATCGAAACTGAAGTTTGTTCTTGTTGTACGGCCACAAAAAATGATAGCAAACACACCTAAAATAACAAATCAAAGAATAATTAGGGGTAGTCTGAAAAAGCTTCTCATAAGGTGACATACCGTTGAGAACCGCAGTTGGCAAACGATTGATTAAGAAAACAACAGTTTCAACTGCATCGGCTCAGAAGGAAAAGGGGAGATTGGAAGTAGCCAGTAAAGACAAGGCAGATTCAACCACATGCGGGTGCTTCCGTTCAAAAGAGCCATTTTGCTCATGCGTGTGAGGACATGACAATTGATGTGTGATTCATTGAGAGTCAAGATACTGGGATAGGTGACGATATTCGCCACCCTAATCAGATTGAAAAACTTTTATCTTTGCATCAAAAAGAATTTCTACATGTCTCTTGAACTTAAGAAATAAATCAAATACATCTGATTTTCAAGACATAAGGTAGATCCAAGAAAATTTCAAAAAATCATCCATAAAAATGACATAATAAGAAAATCCACTATTTGATTTAACAGGACACTTGGACTAAGAAATAGAAGAGTTCAAAGACAACCTATGACTCTTATCCATTTGACATGACTCACAAACTGACTGACTAGTAGTAGACCTATTAAATGGAAGACCAAATTTGGAAATAACTTGTTGTACGATGCGCATAGTTGCATGACCAAAGCAGAGATGCCACCCATGAATTGACGTTCGTTCTCCAATGAGAACTTCTAGAAGAAATTAAATCTAAAGGACACTTGGACTAAGAAATAGAAGAGTTCAAAGACAACCTATGACTCTTACCCATTTGACATGACTCACAAACTGACTAACTAGTAGTAGACCTATTAAATGGAAGACCAAATTTGGAAATAACTTGTCGTACGATGCGCATAGTTGCATGACCAAAGCGGAGATGCCACCCATGAATTGACGTTCGTTCTCCAATGAGAGCTTCTGGAACAATTGTGGCTAAAGCAGAGAAATTGTATAAGCCATCTCTACTGACCTGTCGAAGCAGGATTCTCCCTAAATAATCCTTCACAAGGCAGTAGTCACGATGAAACTCAAAAAATAAATCATTGTCTTTTGTAAATCGACTAATAGACAACAAATTTTTGCAAATAGAGGGAACATGGCAGATATCTTTCAAAGAAAATGCATGTTGATTAAACATCATAGAAGAAGATCCAGTATGATGAATGTTCAAACCTTGACCATTTCCAACCTTAACCTGATTTGGCTCAGTATATTCAGTGCAATTTTGTAGGTTATCTAAGTCTAGAGTCATGTGGTGAGTAGCTCCTGAATCCGAGTACCATTTGGGATCAAAATTATTGTCACTGTATGAGTTCTAATACTGAGGGGTATTGACGCCTCCATGAAAAGCAGATGGCCCATTGTATGTGTTATCAGTAGCAAAACCAAACGCATATTTCACTTTGCGACATTGCAGAGCACTATGTCCAAATTTATTATAAATTTGGCAGATAATATTACTCTTACCTCCACGGCCTCCAGAGAATTGTTGGGGCTGATTTTGGAATGATTGGTGATTGTACTGTGGAGATCCACGTCCACGTCCCCTACCTCTATTATTACTGAAGTTCGGAGAGAATTGTTGAGGAGGCTTATGAGGGTTACCTTTCTTGGGAGGAACATCGGCTAGATTTGCATTTCGAGAATCAGAGGTGGGTGCTAAATCTTCAAGCCAACTTTCATGATTTAGAAAAACTCCCATGATGTCTACAATGCCAAGATCTGGTACGTCTGGTCAATTAGTAAATGTTGTGACTACAGATTCATACTCACTCCCTAGACTGGAAAGAATATAAAATACCAATTCTGATTTGAGAGCTGATTCAAAAACTGTAAATAGGTTATCAGCAATGGACTTAGCATGTTGAATATATGCAAAAATAGAGAGATCCTTTTTTGAGATTTTGTAGTTGTCGCCGCAACTACAATAACCTGGAATGAGAGTGGGTAAAATAACTATGAGAAAGGGAAGTCCATACCTCTGATGCTATTGATAAACCTACCACTTGTGTCATAACTCCCTCTATGAGAGAGAAGATCAACCAACTCAACACGAATTGGTCTATATCTATCCATTTTTCGAATTCTAGGTTGACAGGCATTCCCATACCGTCTGGATTTGGAATAACTTTAGACGGGGCTTCTTCTTCCCTTCCACAAACTCCAAGAGATGGCGTCGTAGAATAAGAAGGAACTAAGTGTGCCATCACAAATAATTGTCGCTTCCGAATTTGATAGGTAGATAGTGAGTGACATTGTGGACCGAAGGGATGGAACTACTTGTTGTCGAGCCACTTTTGGAGGGTACAGGAGTGCTACTGTGAATTCTTGTTTCTGCTGACATGGCTCTAATACCAAGTTGAAATAGCAAATAGAAAGCAAAAAAATAATAATAATAAAAATAGACTAAAATAGTAAGAGAGCCAATGAAAATAATTCGACTAACCTTGATGATTAAGGTCAAGTGACACTCTATTTATAATAATAGTGATCGAGTTACATTAGGATTTACAAGAGATAAGATCAAGGAGGATACACATTATCTAGATGAGGGTTATCTAAGATGGCTAGCTTCTACCAAGAATGTAAATCAGAATTATCCTAGTCAACAGATCTTAACGTAATGTGTGCATATACATGAAAAACGGTGATGAAAATCACCTTACCAAAAGAAGCATATTGTTACTCACTGCCAAAGTGGCAAAAACACTCCCAAATAAAATCAAGGCATTTTTTTGTGAAAAAGAAGTCTAACAAGCATGGGCATTTTTTTGAAAATCGGTGGCAAAAACGCCCACGCTTCCAAACACCATCTCGATTAAGCAAAGTTTTTGTTCAGTTTTTCTCGGTTCAATTCGGTCTGTCAGGACTCATGAGCACCTCTACTGCCATTCACATAGGGCATAAGGTTGCAATCGTCAACTAATTAAATAAACCACTTTTCTATATTGATCTACAAACTAAGAATAACCAAGTAGAGAAGAACATTTGGAACCTCATTGTGCGTATTATGATCTCATTATCAAGGGGGAACGGTTTATAAGAAAACGAACCGACTTTACATCTACCCGCAATGTTGAATAACAATCAGTGATTATAGACACTCCATTATTTTTACCCTTGGTCAATAAACTACAAACAGCCACTTGGGTGGAGTGAGTGAAACTAGATATATGGTAAATATTGTTCTTTATCCAGGATCTCTACTCTAAGAGGGGACTTGGAACATCTATCAAGTTTTGCCAAAGTGATTTCTGTATATATTTTGTATAGAATCCTTAGAAGCACAAAGGGCTTGCATCAGTTAATTTTGTGGTTGTGTTAGTCTTCCTTCCGGCTTCCCTCAGAGGTCAGTTCTTTTGACCTCAGTAGGCTGCAATTGCTTCAACCTCTCCTTGTATTCCTTCAGTTCCCTCCTGTATCTCTCCTTATCTTTCAATCCAATGTTCTGATAAACCTATAAAATGGGGGAAGAAAGAGAAAAAAAAGAATACATCATTGTCAGCATATTTCATTAAACACATCTAACAACAGAATAAGAAATGAAATAAAATGAGAACTCTTAAAGAAACTATATCCTACCATCCTTTCTTCTTCACTGAGTTTGCTCCAAGATTCTCCAATCATTTTAGTGAATTCTCTTTCCTTGGTTGGGTAGAGGGCTTTGAGCATGGAATGCTTCTCAGCAAAAAAGAAGTTGTAACCACTTCTGTTGGGTTTCGGGTGGCTAGGGTCTCCACCCCTCCTGCGTCTCTTCCTCCGGCGAGGGGGGGAGCCACAAGGGACAATAGCATTCATAGGTTGGATCGAAGAAGGAGATGAAGATGGGGGGTGGTAAAGCACCCCATGTAGGATATCCGAACCCATTTTCACAGTAACCAAGTAACCATAATCAAACTTCCCATCAATTACTCCAACCACAGAACAATGAGATGGCTCTGGTGAAAAAAAAAATATGAACATAGTGAGAAGAGAATGTCAATGTGTAAATTTAACAGTTGATGCATGTACCTATGAACAAGTTAGCTCAACTAGAAGCCAAGTTAATCAAATTCACGGAAACCGGTGCAAGATTAGTAGTTAAATTTATTCTATAACAAATTAATTCAGTCAAGCCCAACTTGGGGATGACCATAGTCAGCCAAATGGACTTCACATGGTGTTTTAAGATTTTTTCCTTTATAAAAGTACACAAGCATGATTCATACACATACAACAGAAAATGCACATGCCAGACAACAAACACAAAAAGTTTGTTTCTAACACAGCTGATACTCATGAACTAACTTTTCTAGAACCCAAGGCTACATGCTCACCTCATATTCGTACATCTATAACCTTCCCTTTTTCCAAATCTTTTTTTGATCGGTATTCCCTTTTGCCAAATCTTTTAAACCAATAACTCTTCCTATTTTCCATATAACCACTTTAGCAACAAGGAAATCAGTCTCCAAAAACCTCAGTATATGCATTTTCTGATGTACGAGTCAGTCAATTACAAGTTTTTTGTTGACGAGTATCAATCAATTGTAAGTATAACTTACAAGTTTTTGTTTTGTCTGTATAGGGTTTAGTGGTTTACTAAGTAAATTATCTAGCAAATAAACCCAGTCATCTAGAGAAAACAAGAGTTTTTCCATACAACCCATTAAACTCTCACATGGCTAAAGAAGGTTTCTTAACTGAAAGCCTTTATTTAAGTTTTTTTTTTGGTGTAAGAAAAACCTAGGAGTGGGGTGTGGGTGCAGGAGGAATTTGACCCAAGATTAGTAAGAACTATATCAACTGACTTTACCAGCTGAACCAGCTGGCACCTTCCCCACCAACAGCTTGAAACCTCAAAAAACAGTCATCATCTGTTCATAACTTTTGCAACAAAATTCAGCTTTCTTCTTGTATCCACTAGTGATAATCTCTACAGAAATATCAAAGTTTGCATCACTTGAAATTTAAAAAGTACAATAAAACAAAAACAAAGGTGCCATCTCTATGGCCAACTCAAAGGGTAACATATTTCAACTAGTAAAGCAAAAACATGCAAAGGTCTTAAATTCATGCAAAGCCTAAGTTTCCAAACACTATCCTTAAGGTTTTAATTGCCTTTCTGATTTTCTCCACATACATCAGACAAGGCTAACTGCTAGTTGTGGCTTAACCTAGCATGACACACCACACATAATGTAGATACATGTGACATACTATATGTTAATGATGTTCAGAAAGCAAGGATTAAGTAAATCGGATGATGACCATCACCAAACTGTGCACAATTTCAAAAGAATGTGGATGAAAGCAGTGTATCACACAATCCTCCTGCATGGCAAAAGAGGTTTTCCAACAAAAGGTGGCGTGTAATGGACAGGTCAGACTGACCAACCAGTGTTCCCCATGGCTAAGAGAAAAAGAGGAGTGTTCAATGAAGCAGAAAAAGGATGACCTGTCTGTTATCAAGAATCTCCCAATGGTTATCCTTCAACAAATGCAGTCCACGTGCAAAGCAAGTGGTTATTTACTAGAATCATTAATAATAATGTCCACAGAAAATCAACTGTTCATTAAATTTTTCTGTGTCCTAGGAAAGGATCAAGTACACATCAAGATTATCAAGTTTAAGTATTATTTGATATTAAGTAGCTTCTCTATTTGCATTCTTTCAGATTTATTTAAACCACCCAGATGATAAATAAAAGATTAGAATTAGAATGATTTTAGAGCTGGCTGCTTGTTCCTGAAACATCATTAATTTTTAGAAACAAACTCAACACCTTTGCAACTTACAAGGGAATCTTATTGGATCATGTGGCCCCCTCCTTCGCATCATATGCCTTTCGAGCCACATGGCCGAATGACATGGCAAATGTGGAATGAGGTTGTTGAATATTCATCTCCATGTCAGCTTTTCACCTTTAAATATGCACAAGAGGTAACCCATTCCAGACCCAAAAAAGAGTTATCTTCATTCTTCTAGTATATATTTCTTTTTAAATTCCCCTTGCTTAATTGGAAAAGAACAACTAATACCACCATATAACAGTGATATGGCACCCATTAATAAATATTAGTGGATGGGGACAATGGGTGGATGTGCCTCTATCTAATCCTATGTGATATTTTACAACATTTGTTGACCTTTACTTTGGATAAGCTTCAAAGCATAGCCTCACATATACAGACGATATCTATTCTACTTAAAAGGAATAGATAAACGTTCCATCCTTTGGAGTTGGATTTTTTAAATCTATTTTCTAGTTTAAAAGCTAAAAAAGAATAGACGAAATTGCTTCTAAAAGGGAAAAAAGGGCAGATATTTCAATTTTGGCTTGTAGCTGATGACAGCGTGGCATTAAGAGTTCTTCTTCAGCTACTTGTTTTCTACTTTTCTAGCTTACCTGTTCAGTTGATTCAATCCACTATAAGATGTTTGCCTACTGGATTGACACATCAGCTGTCCACGTGGTTAAAAAGTAGGCAGGTGGAGTACCTCTCGCCCTGTCAAAAGAGTGTGACCAATGAACGCGCCCTCACAGGATAATACAGTCTACACATTTTTCACTCACTATTTCGAAATTTCAGACAGCTAAAATGGTGACTTAATTTTTTCTTATTTTCTAGCCAATGAATGATAAACACGTAGGGCGTAACGCGATCACTGGATCACGACTAGTTTGTAGCGATCTGGGTGGAAAATGCAGGCTAAGGAATCCAGCTAAAACAGTAAAAAAAGACTAAAAAGTAGTAGAAAATTCTAATACAATGGTTTTCTTTCTCATAACGACCTGCAACCATACAATTATAGAACCTGGTTTATCGTATTCTACAAGAAGAAAAACAACAGAGAGAAAGAAAAGAAAAGCATTTACCTCCAACGTGAAGATGGTGAGAACTCGCTATCGTCCTCCGTGACATCTGTTGTTGTTGTTGTTGCGGCCGTATCGATTCAGAACCAGATTCCATGAAATCAGGTAGTACAGATCTACTTGAACTTGGCGAGCTCTTCGCAGGCAATGCCACTGCTGCAACAAGATAGATAAAACCAAACAGCAAAACAAGAGAAAAGGCAAACAAAATCAGAAAAAAGGCAACAGAAGATAATAAAGATAAAGAAAGAACGACAAAGAAGATCTAGAGATCATGTGTAAAGAAAAAAGTTAAGACCCAGAAAGAGAGAATCAGAGAACAACCAAGGGAGGGAGAGGAAAGCGTACCCGATGGAGGAGCGAGCAAGGGACCCTGTAACTTAAAGAAATAGACTTGTTCGTAGTAGTGGAGAAGGCTGGAGTAATGCTTTCTCAGCACAAAAGAAGCGCTCGTCGTGGTGGGAGAGAAGTTGAAAGCAGCACTAACATCCCTCCATTTCTTTTCTCTCACAACCTAATCATGTAATACAAAGGAGTAAAATCAATACCATCCTCTTCCAACCTCCATTAGAGCGTCTGCAAGAGTTCAAACCACACAACCTTTTGAAAACCACCTCTCTTGGTAACTTCTACATACAAGAGATGCAAATCCAGCTCTTTCCCTCCAATGGTCGGAACCCTTGAAGCAACCAGAAAGGAAAAGCTTAAATTTTTTACATAAATGATAAATCCCCATAAGCCAAATGAGCTGAGCGTCCTTCTACATTGCTTTCATGCATAAATCGAAACAGATAAACAAACAATAATTTCAACTGGAAAGAAAAATCGGAGAACAAACATACATGAACTTGGTACCCAAGTTAGAATGAAAGCGCCGGAGGGTATCCCAAAAGACTGTCGGATTCTTGACAACATCCTCGTGAGAGGAGAGTGGTGAAGGATAACGTTTATCTTCTACCCCCTTCACCGGTTTCATTTCCGTCGACAACATAGTCTCACCGGCGACCCACCAATGGCCGGAACGGAAAAAAAAAATCAGGAAAAAGAACAAAGGAAACAGATGAAAAGAAAGGCAATAGAGAAAAAGAAGTAAGCAGAAAATGAAAGGAAATATCTGTATTATAATTATGGGGTTTTAAATAAAATCAAGGTAGAAAAAGCAAGCTGTAGGTTTGAGGAGTCCGAATTTGACACGTGGCACATAAATGTAACATAATAGTAGCTTTTCCGGGGCAATCTTATTAATGGCAGCGGATGAACGATTGCACCGTCACAGAGCAAGGCAATGGTGTGTGTCTGAGAGAGACTGACCGAACAAAGTCTGAGAGTTGATTTAATTATCTCGGCGGAATTCATAATGACTTCTGGAACCCTTCTCCTTTCTTCTTTTCGGGTTCGGCTCCTCAGACTTTGCGTCTCTCTGCCCACCTGACAGATATCTCTTTTTCTCCTTCTCTCTCCAAACGTATCTCATCGTATCAAGGCCGTACGTTTGCTAGTAAAAACTTACTGACGTGATGAATGGACCAGTGATCGAACAGGCGCGAGTCTCCAACGACGACCGTCTTGCGTTTCGACCGAAACCGTCTTCTTCTCGGGATTCGGAGCATATCTTCTCTTCTTGGAATAATACGATGTGGTGATGCGGTGTAATCGGGAAATGGAATTAAGATATTTTATCGGAAAATTATTTCCAGGTGAGAACTCAGAAGGTTCAGTCGACTCGATCGAATCCACAGGTTCTGTGCCACGTGGATAATTCCTATGGTCGAGTTGGTTTGCTATTTGTTAATCGGATAGTGGACCGAGTGCTCAAGGTGGAGAAATCAGCTACTACGCCCTTTTGGAGAAATCCTGACCTAAAACCGTGAAATTATGACCTTCGATGCGTCGCTGTGGTTCCCACTTTACATCACTTTATCCAAATCAACGTGGGGGCACAGTAACACATCGAGCGGTGCGATTCACAGATCACAGCTTTAATGCGGGGCTACTCCAACCAGCGTAGCTGATTTTTGAGGTTTGCCCCCGAGTCCAATCAAACGAACCAGTCAAGTGTAGATGGATCGGATCGGGATCCGAAGTCCGATCCTGCGTTGTCTGGATCGGATCCGATTAAAATCGGACTCTATTCGGATCGCCCTCTTATTCGATCCAATATATATGTTATTTATATTAGATTTTTGTATTTTTTTTATAAAAAAGCATGTACATATATTGATGAACATAGTTGAATAAATATTTATATTTTTTGTGTTTCTTTATTTAAATAGTTATATTTTCTTTTCCTTTTAATAATTTATTAATGTTTTAAAGATTAATTCAAATATCCAACATTTTGATTACTTATGAGATCTGATCAGATCTTCGAATCAAACTTATAGTGTTTCGGAGCAGATTCGAATATACCCTTATTTGAATCTAATCCATTTGCATCTCTACCAAAGAAGGGAGTAGGGATGGCAGTTTTCCTCATTTCCCCAATCCTGACAGATATGGCGGGGATAGAGTGGAAGATGGGGAGAGCATTCCCCACCCCGTAGGGACCCCAATCCCCGCTAATATATATTTACATGTACGTATGTATGTCCTAGCGAGGACCCGTTCGATGCATAGGCTTTTTTAAGTGAAAGTTAAACAATGGAAATACATAAAAGTATATAGTTGTTTTATATTTTAACTCTTAATAACCAATTCTATCAAACTCAACCTTAGTTGGTTGGTTTTCTAGTAGTTTCGATCGGCTTTGGTTCAACAATTTTCCACCTGACCAAGTTAGGTCATTTCCGGTTTTGTCATTTGTAAACTGAAAAAATTGAACCAACTTGACTATAGATATATATTAATATTTTATTTTTTAAATATAATTTTTTTAATACAGAAAAGTGGAAAAAAATCTCATATTTCTTAGTCTAAAATATTGTATATCATAAATTTAATTTTTTAATAATACCGTTGTAATTTATTAAATTTAAATTCAACTTTTAAGTTTAAATCTTTTGAACAAACAAACCAAACCGAAAATAGACCCAAACCAATACAACCTAAGTTAGCAGATTTTCACTAATGGTTAGTCAATTTCATGTGACAAACTCCCAACTTGACCAAGTCGATTTGGTTGGCGAAACAACATGCAACCAAACTGAACCAATCCTTAAACACTCATAATTTATGCTAAATTAATTATTTTTATGAAATATATTATAATTACTTTTCTACTTTTATGAATTTTTTAAAATTTATTACATAATTTCTTTATTTTAACTATTTGAAAGTTAATTATGTTAAATATTTTGTTACTTAAATAATATTTAAAATTTTCATTACTTGAATTCAAATTGTTTTAAGTTTTTATGTAATATTAAATATTTTGTTATATAATTATTTATCTATTTTTAATGTTTTCTTATTTAAGATATTTAGTTATTGATATATTTAAATAATATTTTATTTTTATGTTAAATTTTTATTATTTGAATTGAATAATTTGTAAAATTATAATTTATATTGTTACTAAGCATATATTTTGTTCCGTAGACATTTCATGATAGACGTTTATCAAAACACCGCCATGTCATAACCAAATCAATATTTTTCTTATCATGTTCATCCGTACACATTGGTACTCACAAAAGTGGGTTTTGATTTATATATGCACCAAACGCTGGGGGAAGCTTCATTTTAACACTTCCCCCCAAAGGTTGAGTGTTTATTCACTCAACCGCTGGTGTGGTGCCTAATGGCACCTAGTGGTGACTAGTTGTCAATAAACGCTTTATCAAGTACTTTTCTTGGTTTTAAAATCACCACTAGTTGTCAATAAACGTTTTATCAAATACTTTTCTTGGTTTTAAAGACTAATAAAGTACAAAAAGTTTATTTAATAAAAGAAGTTATACCAAATACATACTACATAATTTCATGATGAATTGTATAAAAATATAGAATGATTAATAATATGAATATATGTATGTATGTATATATGTATAAAATGAAAATGAAAAAAGATCATGGGAAATGGGGATCCCATGGTGGGGACAGAGATAGGATAGCCTTATCCCGGCTGACAAAGACAGGGATAGGGATGGGGAGTGGCTCTTTGTCCTCGCCACCATCTTGTTGCCATTCCTATAAGGGAGTATGGGCTTGAGTTTATATTTCAAATCATTTTTTTAAGATTCGGTCCAAACTAGACGATCAGACCATGAAAATTGGAAATTAGTGCCCTTTCTTGTTCCCCGTTAGACTTGTTCACAGGTTAAGTTGGGCTAGACTTTGCCTCTACATTAACAAAATATGCACATGCCTGAGCCCGAGCCCCCAACCATCGGGCCCAAGTCTTGAGCCCAAGCCCGACCTTCATATAAAGCCCGAATTAGAGATGGATTAAGTACACAAATATGGCCATTATAGTAACCATTAAAATTGACATTAAAAATATAATAAAATGACTATTATACCCTTTCTCAAACAAAAAAATAGCGGATAATTTTATTTAAAAAAAGTTTCACACTACATTCATTCTTATATATATATTTATACATTTTAGTTTTTTGTTGTATTTTATTTTATTTTGTTACATTGTGTTATTTTTTTTTTAAATCACATAGTGGTGTGAGCCTTTGAGGGATTATAAATGTTTAAACATGCGTACGAATATACAATGATAACACGAGTATAACGGAATACTAATAGCAAGGGCAAAGTACTTGAATGTGAACGTTCATGGTGGCGGTGGGTAATCGTGTCGCAAATTGAAAATTTGGGGGGTTTAGTGTTACCATCCAAAACAACATGGTGGTAGACTATAATTTACCCTGAAGTATAAATTTCCTTCCACGTTGATATTCAATGAAAAAACCCGAAGTTCCTTGGAGACGGAAGTGGAAGAAAATGACGGTGGTAATGGCGAGCTTCGTCAGCACCTCTGCTCCTACATTACTCCATCGCTCTCGTTGTCTATATCTTCCTCGCAGCTCCACTTGGACAAACCCGTTCAAGGTATCCAATACATCTTTCTCCCCGCTCTCTTTTCCCTGTTCATTTATTTACCTATCTGCCTCTCTCGTTTTGATTTCCTTTGTTTAATTGAACCCTTGAAGATTGGTTGGGTGCAGAGGGCGACGATGCTGCCCGTGAAATGCTGCTCCGGGTTGAGAGAAAATACAGAAACGGAAGCAGAGACATCCAAGCCTCCACCTCGGAATATTTCTACATACAATTGGTGTGCAGGGCTCGGAGCCTTAGGTTTTCTGGAAACTGGATACTTGACTTATATGAAGCTCACCAATTCTGATATCTCCTGTCCTCTTAGTGGAGGCACTTGCACTGACGTTCTTAACAGTGATTACGCCGTTGTTTCTGGTTTGCTCTAATCCTTTTCTTTTAATTATATATTTTGCTTTTCTGTTGATTTGGATGTCTGATAACTATAGCCAGGAAGTAAATTAACATCAAGAAGCACGAATCATGATTTTTCCATGCCATGATCTTTTTTTCCCCGTATTATCCCAATTACAAAGAAAACAGATGCAGACCAAGACCATAAAACATGTGCCAATTACTTTTCGGAGCACTTGGACTATTACTTTGTTTTTTAGATTGTTGGAGAATCATTAGACTATGGGTTTTATTTTTTTACAAATTTGATATGAACGAGCTGAGTATTTAGCAATATCTGGTCTTCACATTGTCTATTTCTTCCAGAGGTATATGATACTACAATTGCTTAATGTCAGCTTGTAATCTCTTGAGTTGAACATGAATTTGTTCTTTGATTAGATGGTTTCATTTGACCAGTCTCAGTAGACACTATAACAAAGGCATTTTGGTCATGCATGGTGGGAATTCACATTTTTTTCCTGCATAGTCGGGTGGCTGTTATTCTACGGGTCTGAAATTGGCCTAGTCATTTGGTTGGTGTGACATTTATGAGGTGTTTGATTGTCAAATGGTGGCCGTATAACTGTAAGAATCTTCAAATGGCAATTGGTTCCTTTGACACTTAATTAGAGAATCCAAGGCTCTGGTATCTAGGTTGAACAGTTAGTTCAGATAGGTGCCTATATTTGCCAATAAGCTAAAGATTCTCCAGCTGGGGATGGAGTTGTATTTTTTTTTTTTTGAAAAAAGGTAAGGTAATTTATTAAGACAAACAGAAATTACAGAGGAGCTCCAAAACCGGAGCTAGAATACAGAGAACCAAGCCCAAAACTAGATTACAGCTCAAACAAACTTCTAGACCTCAGCTGCGCACTAAGAGCCCTGGATTGGAACCCTTTCACAGCTGAAGTCCAAGACACTAATTTCCCCACACTACAAGATACAAGACTGTCTACTTCTTTAGATTTGTTTTGAAAACTCTTCTGTTTCTCTTTGCCTAGATGGTGCTGATCACTGCTGCAGGAATAGCCAACCACACACTTTTTGCCAACTTGGAGAGGCCTTGAAGTTCCCAGTTTCTTAAGAGATCCATCACTTTACTTGGCATGACCCAGGAAAGTCCCACAGAAGAAAGAAAATGATCCCACAAGGCTGTTGAGACATGACAATGTATAAGCTGCTGTCTTCTTCATTTTGGCCACAAAGCACACAACCCAAATTTTGAATTTGCATTCCCCTTCTAACCAGATTCAGCTTAGTGAGTGTAGAGAACACTGATGTGGGCCCCACAGCTGTGGTTCCCACTGTGCTCGTAGGACAATATGTGTAATTATTTGTTTCAGTTATGGTAGTGTCAGTTGGTGGTCAGTTTGTTATTTCAGTTATTTATTTGCTTTATTTGTCATGTAAGTACTAAGGGCAGATCTGTCATTTTCCCTATGTACTGAACATAACCTATAAATACCAAGAGAGTGGTGGCAACAGATAATTCTGAATCTGTCCCTTCTTTCAACCTTTGTTTTCTTCAGTTCTTCTCCTCTCTTTTCTTCTTTTTTCCTAATCTGAAATCTATTAGGGTTCAAGGCTGATTGTAGTCTTGATCGTCTACTTGGTATCAAAGCCTATCTATCTAGGGTTTCTCATGTGAGTCTAGTCCAGCTGACCACATGAGAACCATCTAGAGCTGGAAGTTTATGAAAAATTATACGTTGGCTGATTCTTGGAGGTTACCAGAAGAGGTTCACAGCTGTTGAAGACTTGCCACGGCTTGCAGAGTGTTGGTAATTAGGAAGAATCAGAGAAGGAGCAACAACCTTGGAAAGTAGCGAACAACATCTCTGGGTAAGTCTTATTTATTTTCTAGAGACTGCTATCAGTCAAGATAGGTTGGATCTATCTAGAAGGAGCGGCCAAACTGTTTTAGGGTTTTCTCACTACTCTAGGGTTTGATATTAACCTTGCGGCAAACCTTTCTGTTGGGCCGAACTCTTATTATCCTCTTGGAAAGTGCTTGTTTTAGGGTTTTCTCCTAGAGGTGATCAGTTTTAGGGTTTCACATTGACCCTATGACAAAACCTAACTGCACGAACTGTTTGGAAAGTGCAGCTGAGCACTTATTTCAGACCTACGATTGAAACCCTAATTCTGTTCCAGCATCTCAGATTGCTCTCTAAGCTGGTTTTAGACCTATTTTTTGGTTTTGAGCTCTTTTAGGGGGTGAAAACTTGTACGGACTGCTTGGTACTGTGATTGTCGATTGGTTTCAGATCAGATTTATACTAGTTTCATGCATATACTGTGGTTGCCGATTGGTTTCAGATCAGACCTGCACTAGTTTCGTGCATATACCGTGATTACAGATTGGTTTTAGATCAGCTCTGCATTGATTCCATACTGATTTCTGATTGCGATCGACTGTCCAAGTGCTGTTTTCTATTGTAGTGACCCTAACAGTTCATACCTACTGATTCTTGACCAAAGATGGAGTTTAAAAATCAGGGAGAAGGTAGTTTTGGGAACAACAATTATGGTAGTATATCTGAAACTGGGTTTCAGATTACAACTGTGAGATTTGATGGGTCAAACTACTTGGAATGGGCCCAATCAGCCACGATGGCTATTGGGGGAAGGGGAAAACTGGGATACCTCTTGGGAGATGTGAAAGAACCTTCCAAGGAGGACACGATGTACACCAAGTGGGTTCAAGAGAACTACTTGGTTATGGCATGGCTGTGTAATTCTATGCAGCCACATATCAGCCGAAAGCCACATATCAGCCGAAATTACTTGTGGGCCAAGACAGCCAAGGAGATATGGGATGTTATGAAAGAAACCTATTCCCAACCCCTTAATGTTGCCAGAGCCTATGAACTGAAGTGTGAAGTGAATAGTCTTAAACAAGGAGACAAACCAGTTTCTGTCTACTTCTCTACCTTGAAATTCCTGTGGCATGAGATTGATCACCTAGAGACTCTTGAGTGGGAGAGTCACAGAGATGCACAGACTCACAGAAAGCAAGTCGAGACAAATAGGGTGTTTGAATTTCTGGCTGGCCTAAATTCAGAATATGATAGTGTGCGGCAACAGATACTAACCAGAGATAGTGTGACCCTCTCTCAAGCATACTCCCTGGTGCATAGTGAAGAGACTAGACAGAAAGTCATGATGCAACATCAGCCTCTTTTCCCAGCCCTGACAGCTGTTAAACCTAAGTCAGGGGGTGATTCAGAAAGGGACAAGAAGAAGGAAGATAAACGGGACTTGGTATGTGAACATTGCAAGAAATCCAAGCACACAAAATATACTTGTTGGAAGCAGCCTCTTTCCCCAGCCCTGACAGCTGTTAAACCTAAGTCAGGGGGTGATTCAGAAAGGGACAAGAAGAAGGAAGATAAACGGGACCTGGTACGTGAACATTGCAAGAAATCCAAGCACACAAAATATACTTGTTGGAAGCTGCATCCTCATTTGGTCCCATCAAAACTGAGAAATAAGAAGGGTAATGCTCATGTGGCTGTGAATATTGATTCAGCATCCTTGTCAGGCACAAAAGGCACACCCCTAGAGACCTTAGCTGCAGTTCGGGCTGCCCTAATACAGTTGGAAAAGGAAGTTGGGAGTTCAGCTTAGCCATCTCAGTCACCAACGGCCCCTGCCACATCTGCCTTTGCACATTCAGGTACTCGAGCCTCAGCTTACCATGCTTCAGCTCCAGGTAATACTAAACACTGTTGGGTAATAGATTCAGGTGCATCCGACCATATGACTAGCTTGCCATCATTGTTCACTACTTATCACTTGTCCTCCGGTAGAGATAGAGTATCCATTGCTGATGGCTYTCTTGTTYCCATTTCKRGCAAGGGTGACATCAAGTTATCGGATACTATCTCTTTACCTTCGGTCTTGCATGTTCCTAAGCTTGATATAACCTGCTTTCAATCAGTAGTATTACCAAACATATGAACTGTTCAGTAACCTTTTTCCCTGACCGATGTGTTTTTCAGGACTTGGAGACGAGGAAGGTGATTGGGATTGGCCGTGAGACGAATGAGATCGATCTGCTCGGAGAGAGTTCTCGTTGGGAAGAGCCAGTGGATAAGAAGTCCT